AACTACTTAACTAGTCCAATTACTGTATGATATTCCTACTACCGGTATAGCTACTTAACTAGTCCAATTACTGTATGATATTCCTACTACCGGTATAGCTACTTAACTAGTCAATTACTGTATGATATTCCTACTACCGGTATAGCTACTTAACTAGTCCAATTACTGTATGATATTCCTACTACCGGTATAATTGAAGATGCATTTCTATAGAAAGTAGGTCAAGACTTTAAAGTAAAGTATTGTCCACAAATTGTTTTGTTTAGAAATACATAGTACTTTTACGAAATATCGATGTCTTTAACAGAAGCTCTGAAGAAGAATAGAACAATAGAAATGTCATATTTTTTTCAATACAATGCTGTTACTTCAAAGAAGTGCGCAGCGGAAAATGAAACGTTAAAAATTAAAATAAGTAATAGAACCAGTAGAAAGCGTTGAAAATCATAAAACCAAGTGGAAAAATTATTCTGCTTGTCTTGTCAATTCTCTTGGAATACATTCTGGCGGGCAACAATATCACTGAAGAAATTTCTCTGACATTCGTCGAAGTGGGTAGAGTTATAACTTCTTGCATGGTTGAAACCTGTAGTTGTAAACAATACAAATACACAGGTAAAAGAATGAAGAGAAATAAGTCTTTAACAAATTAAAACAAATAGAGATAAATACGTCTAGTCAGTAACTTGAGTTATCCATAAAATAGGGGGTTAGAGCATTAAAACGTTATATTGTAAGATGTATTCTGTTTAGAAGATCAACCTACTTTGTTTAAAGCTTCTTACCACAATATGCTAAATTGAGTTTGTCCCGCTGCAACACTTATTATAGGGCAATATCATGTAGACAACGCTCCTAAAGCTATCAAAGCTGTATTAAAGATATCACCCATTTCTACATTACATCTTTTAGTATATAGTAACAATGTATTATTATAAGAAGTAAGATAATTAAAATTTTTAATTTAAGAAGGGGAATAGGGATCGTTAAAAAAGTACAGTTTGTGTGTGTGTGTGTTTTTTTTTGTTTATAGCAAAGATACATCAGGCTATCTGCTGTGTCCACCGAGGGGAATCAAAACCCTAATTTTAGCGTTGTAAATCCGTAGACTTACCGCCATCCCAGCGGGGACAAAAAAGTACAGAAACAAGTTGAATCAACATGCAAATATTATATTTTCAATACTACAACTAGGAACTCTAAACAAAGTAGGCTAGAAATAGCTTCTGCATTATTTTCTCAAACTTCAAATTCCTATTTTGACTCCGTGTCTACAGTATTTATCAATTTTAGTGTAGTTAACCTTCACAGGAATCTGTTTAGTAACTGTGCATAGATTTTGGCGTAGTGTACCTAACCGTTTTTGCTGTAGGCTTCAATGCTTCAATGTCTTCAAAGAGAAACTTGGCCAGTAGCGATGAAAAACTGATAAAATCACTTCTTCTCTTTCAAGAATCAACATAAAAATAGTCCTATGACCTGCGCATGAGTTTTTTATTAAATTTGCGCATATTTTATTAAAATATTCATAACCATTTTTTCTGTAGGCTTGTGAAACAAATATATTATGAATAATAATAATATGAAGAACAAATGGCTGAATTTTGTCTAACAATCGGAAAATCAACTATTTTTCTATTATCAATATTTTAACAGCCTTGGCCACTGAAATAGAAGGTCTTGAGTGTTGTTTCAAAAACAAGTCTGCTTTTAAAGATGATTCTATTAGAATTTTTGTGAAATTCCTGGGCGATCCTTATTATGAACCACTATCATGGTTCCTGATAATCCTCGAAAAAATGAAATATTTTCCAGTGACAAGACTGCTCGAAATTTTCTTCTGTCATTTAGACCATACTTTTATTCTATCTCTCTAAATCTGAGTAAACATGATGACAGACCATTTGGATCCAATCTCTGATTAAACATTTATTATATTTGTCAGTTAACTATCGTAACCCAACTGGTCTATTGAGTTCTAATATTGAACGAAAGGCATACAACCAACAAATGAAATACTACTATTACAGGGTTGAGAACGTTATTATTTATACTATTTTGAATATTAAAATCAGCAAGTCACTTTACAATGACGGTGAAACAAGATGTATCTGAATTACATTTTAACATTTCTTAGATAGTGTGATGCTACAGGAAACTAATTGCTTTCGGAAAGGTATGTAACATCCCATTTTAACGTAAAATATTCAAACAATCAGATCATAAAGATGTGTTCAGACCGGAAATGTAGAATTTTTAAGACGGATATATTCCTTGTACTTAATGACATTGGAAAACAATGAATACAACGGGTAATGGCAAAAGCCGTCCAAAGTAAGAGTACATAAGTTAATAAAGAAATGTTTCCATTTTATAACGAGACCAACAGGTTAGGAGTTCAGTGAAATAGAGCTTTAATACCTCCCATTCAACCGTTGCATATTTCAAAAAGTTAGAGAATGAAACGTGTATTTGTGTGAATTGACTATTGAAAAGGCCATTGGAATAATATCATAAGTGTACATTAGATGGATTATAGAAATCTTAATAGAATAGTGTCTTGCTTTGTACATGACAGCCTTACTACGGGGTATGTTGTAATAGAAGTTACACAGGGCTATTGTTAAGATGCACGATTGTCACAGAGAGAATGATCGGACATGGCGAAATGAACCGTTACGACGTGACGATTTTCCAAAATCGTTTTAATACATCGAACTCAAACCCATATTTATCAATAACTGACTGTACCTAAAGCCAATAAACTTTTTTAGATTTTTATAAGAATTCTATTCATAAAACAACTTACAGGCACAATCAAAGTGGCTTTGACTTCACTGCCTTCAAATTTCAGTTCCTGAATGTTTCCCCGTTTCCTCGCCAAGTAACTAACAAAGGTAAACTCTATCAGAGCTGCGAAGACGAAGAACGTGCAAGTGCCCATCCAGACGTCTAAAGCTTTGACATATGAGACAGGTGCCAGATTAGATTGATGGTCGCTACTCTCAGACGAAATAGTCAGCAAAGTTGTAACACCTAATGTTATGCGGGCAGGAATGGCATCGACATCGAGCCAAAAGGATACCCAGGAGATGAAGACAATGAGGGTTGAAGGAAGATAATACTGAACGAGATAATGGCCAATGGATCGTTTAAGATCAAATCTAGCTCGTAGACAACTGTATTCACCTGTAAATAAACTTGACACTGTAGCACTAGAAACTTCTTCCCCACACATCACCTCAAAACAAACACCAACCATTCATTTTATACAAAGGAATTTGAAGTTACTGAATTATTTCTATATCTTTAAATTTAGGAACTGCATTTTTTAAAGTCTAAAACATTCTTTGTCAAATGTTACGCTCGAATATTTAACATTTCGTGTAGATATATGAAAGTTTGAGACTACTATTTTTATTTCCGATTTTAATAGGTTGAAACAAGTTAAATTCTGTGCTAAATGTGCAAGTAGAGTACCTACCAATTTGGAAAGACTCTTTACACACCGTCAGGCTTACTTGCTCTAGTTCAAACTGTGCAAGTTTCAGGCCAGTATACATCGTTACTGACTTTTCGTTCAACCACTGCAGTTCTACTTCTTGGACTGTCTTAGAAACTTTAAAATAAAAGCTTAGTTCAACTTTACAGCATAATACTTAGGTAATATGTTTTACTTCGTGCGGGAGAAACATTATAAAAGCATTATATACAAATACACACACATACAGACACGTGAATCTAGTTACTATAGCAAATAAATCTATAATAATCATCATTTTATTGCTGAAACATTTTTAACATCTGAAATCGTGCTCTTCAAAAATATAAAACATTATAGCCTTTCAATACATTCTAAAGTAACATTTTAAGCAAACAGGCACATATATATGACAATTTAACTTTTCAAATGTTTTTTGAATGAGTTGATAGAAATTAGATTTTTCTAAAAAATCATTATACAAAAAAGTTAAAATAATCTATGCAAGTATATTATGGATGTAACATAGGTTGTCCTATATTCACTTTTTGTTTTTGTAAATTTGTTTGTCCGCGAACACCTCCAACAGTTTTAGAGCTAGCAGAACCAAACTTGGCAATCGAGTTAGGGTGGTCCGGGGTTGTCATTATTTATATGGCGTAGCCCCTCAAGAAAGCAGGGTTAAATCTCATATAGAAGATCAATCAGGCATGATGAAGGTCTAGAAAAAGTTTTCTGGGTCGCTGAACCAAAACCTGGAATCGGATTTTGTGTTTATTGTCCTTCTCGGGGTCTCGGAGGCGCCATGTTTAAAACTGTGTGAATTTCCCCCTCACAAGTTAGTAGAGCCAAACGTGGCACACGTACTCGAGTACCAGGAGCTGGTGTCCAAACGATGTTTGTTTTCGGGTACGTACCTTCCCTTTGGGGTAACTGTAAAAGTATGGCGTAAGTTCTCTACCCAAAGGGCTAAAACGCGTCCAGATTGTCACCCAGACATGATGGAATTTTGTGCTTTTGATCTCCCTTGGAATCTCAAAGGCGTCATGTTTAAAAATGTGAGGTAGATATTGGACTTCTGCAGTACTGTGGGTAATTTTAAGTTCACTCTTTCGTGTGACCCTTATGTTATTAGGATCGTGGACGCACAAGTAATTTGGTGCACAAATAGTTTTGAAAAGTATGTTTAACATTTATGTGGAATTAACAATTTTTATTAACCACAGACTCACTTGAATACTTCAGGTATTTGGCAGGATTGGTTTGTTGTAATTAACATTAAAATTAATAAATATTCAATACTGACGTGAGAGATGAAAGTTTAATTAAATATTGATTTTACGGCAAAATAAGTAAGATCAAATGTATGATTAATCGTTCCGACTATTAGTTTCAGAATGGATATATTTTTCATTAACTAAAAATTATGTTGTCCAAAATATTAAAAAGCAAATTTTATGAAGATGTAAGCTTAGATTTTGCCGTTCCATTAAAACTATATTTATATATTTTTTTGGTATCTCTTTTGCTTTGACATAAGAAAAACGTGTAACAACGTCGTCTTATAAGAAAGCATAAGATGAATAAAATGCTATTTGCTAAGTATTGATTCTTAGTGAGTTATATTTTTGAAGTTCTTTTTCAGGTTTACCAGTTTCACTAATTTACTTCAACAATGAAAAAGCTAAGAGATGTAAAATACGAAGGTAAAGGTAAACTCAAACTAATTATATAGCTGTAGTGTTTGGTCCTTACGAAGTTCAAAATATCATGATATTATTCGTTTCAAATTTCAGCGTTTTTCTGAAAATTTTTCTGAGAGCTCTTTGTTGACCTACTTTCTATAGAAATGCATCTTCAATC